GTTTAGTAATGGTTTTCTTTATCATACAATCATTTCAACGAGTATCAGAACCGCTCATCCGGTATATCCTCTAACCGCACGTCAGGAGTAAACAGGTATTCTGCATCATGGGGATCAAGCGAAAAGGCCTGAAAAATTGTATAGATGTACACAACAAAGGTGCAGGATGTTGTGGAACTTACTCTCAATTTGACTTCGTGTTTTGAGGTGATGTATTCGTCATCGATTTCATAAATAGGCTTCTTCTCTTTTGTGTAGTAGTTGTAATCGTAGTAGAAGATGGACATCAGAGCAAATATGATTATGACGGCGCACATGGCTCCTGAAACGAGTAAGTTTAAACCTCTTAGGGATAAAGGACTTTCTACCTGCATAGGCAAAGAACTCCGTAGCCATATTATTAAACAAGTTGAGCGCAGTGATTAGAACTATAATGCTGTCACCCACTGCTGTTGTAAGTAACCACATAGCTTGTACCAGTGCTTTCATAGATGGAGCAGACTGAAGCATTCGTGAACATCGTTAGAGGAATTTCTTTCTGCAATGACCACACCCATCCCACCTGTGAATAAGCAAACTCGTATCCTGTTATAGAAAACAGAATCTCAGCTGCTGTAATTATGATAATCTGTGGGAATTGCCACAGAATCGTCACCGAATTGGACTGCACCACTTGATTGACATGATATATTGGTTTATCCTAAGAATGTCTCAATGTCTTGTCAAAAAATGCTGCGCGCTTACATGTCGAGCATACCTTTGATCCGGTCAAAGCGAGGACATAGACTGCTCCTTGCTTATGAATTTCCATCGGAACACCAGTAGCTGTGACTGTGATGTTGGTTTTGTCGGGTGTTTTGAATCCAACATTCTTCGGAGTTCCATCCAGGTAGAAAAGCTGCCACCTAAATTTAGAAGCAGTCAGAACCTAGGCAGTAAATTCCATAATGATTCGTAATCTTCAGCAACTAACGATCCAGGTTTCACTGGCTTGAAGACGTAGCCTACGGCGTAACCATTATTGGCTCCACCATTAGT